CCTTCTCATATTAAAAACTTAAAATATACTTTTACAGATACAAGATAAATTCAATTTTTTTTATCGAGGTACAAGTATATGAAAAAATTTTTGTGACTATGTTCAAATATGAGTAATCAATCAATTTGTTTAACATACTTCAACTGATTTAGGTAAATAAAGAAAATATATTTAAAAAACATTGTAACAGGTCAATTCAACCTACCAGATTTTCGTTTATTTTTATGTAAAAGTTTGGCAGTCGAATTAAAGGACATCCTGTGTACTTATAGTACCCGTCAAAAGTTTGAGATAAATTTTTACCAGTAAATACAGGGTGGTCCAGGTTTTAATAGACAAACTTCGGGAAACTATTAAACAATAAAAATTAACATCACTTTGCTCTATGAACATAGGCGCAGAAAGCCACCGTTTATGAGATACAGGGCGTTGAAATTAACAAAAATATAACAATTTTTTTAAATATCTGGAAAACGGCTTTATCAAATTCATCCAAATTCATATTTGGTACACATTTTTTTTAAATATTTCTCCTAGTTTTGTATGCACTTAGTCCAAATTCAAAGACCAGTGGCGAAGAAACAAGGATGTCGTTTTCTTATTTAAAGTAAAACTTCTACGCCACTGAATTAATTGGTAATATGAATACATTTTATAATGGTCTTAAACATTTCGGATGAGAAAACATTCTTTTATTTTTATCGAAAAGTGAATGGTTTACGAGCTATGAGGCATATTCAAGTAAACAAAGCGTTGAAATCGGGAAAAATAAAACGGATTTGGGTGGTCCAGATTTTAATAGGCAAACTTCGGGAAAGTTTTAAATAACAAAAATTAACATCACTATGCTCTATGAACATAGGCGCAGAAAGCTACCGTTTATGAGATACAGGGCGTTGAAATTAACAAAAATAAAATATACTTTTTAAATATCTAGAAAACCGCATCATAATATGTTTCATAACTCGTAAACCATTCTCTTTTCGACAAAAATGAAAGAGTGTTTTTTCATCCGGAATGTTTCAGACCGTTGTAAAATGTATTCATATTACCAATTCATTCAGTGGCATAAAAGTTTTACTTTAAATAAGGAAACGATATCATTGTTTCTCCGCCACTGGTTTTTGAATTTGGACTGTGTGCATACAGAACTAGGAGAAATATTTGAAAAAAAGTTTGTACCAAATTTGGATAAATTTGAAGAAGTGATTTTCCAGATATTTAAAAAAATTGTTTTACTTTTGTTAATTTCAACGCCCTGTATCTCACAAATGGTGGATTTCTGCGCCTATGTTTATAGAGCAAAGTGATGTTACTTTTTGTTGTTTAGTACTTTCTCGAAGTTTGTCTATTAAAAATCTCGATCATCCAAATTCGTTTTATTTTTCCCTATTTCAACGCTTTATTTACTTGGATAATATGCCCCATAACTCGTAAACCATTCACTTTTCGACAAAAATAAAAAAATGTTTTTTCATCCGGAATATTTCAGACCGTTATAAAATGTATTCATATTACCAATTCATTCAGTGGCGTAGAAGTTTTACTCTAAATAAGGAGACAACGTCCTTGTTTCTCCGCCACTGGCTTTTGAATTTGGATTGCGTGCATACAAAACTAGGAGAAATATTCGAAAACAAATGTGTACCAAATTTGGAAATATTTGATGAAGCGGTTTTCCAGATATTTAAAAAACTTGTTTTATTTTTGATCATTTCAACGCCCTGTATCTCATAAACGATGGCTTTCTGCGCCTATGTTCATAGAGCAAAGTAATGTTAATTTTTGTTGTTTAGTACTTTCCCGAAGTTTGTCTTTTAAAATCTGGATCACCCTGTATTCAAACAATATATTGATCAGCTGGATCAGTTCCATAATAAAATTTAGAATTTCTTAATAATTCTGGTTTAACATAAAAACTGGAAACTTGCAAGTCGAACCGGACATATTTTCTTTTACTGAAAAAATAAAATAACCAGTGGAGTGGATATAAGAGCAGCGTTGTCATTTTTGTAAATATTTTTGAAAAATAAGTGAAAAAATGTATCTTATATTGATTGTATTGCGATGTGACGACAAACTTAGATCATTTACAGGACTAAGACAAATAAGTTAATAACATTTGCAATAATTGCTGAAATAAATTTTTTTTGGACGCTCTGTATCTCAAGAACTAAGCCCTTGCGAACCCATGTTCATATGAACTTTTTATCTTGAAATGAGTCAAACATTAACCCTTCAAAGTTTGTACAAGTATAAACACCTTGTTTTACAGTACATAGCACTAGTATACTGCTAGTAGTTCTAATAAAACGCAATTGTTTAAAAACTTCTACTTTTTTCTACTTGGCTTTGATCATTAGGGGACAAATTGCACCAAAAATAATTTTATTTGGAAAAAAAATATTTTAAAGTACCTAACGAAAAAACTGATTCAGAGGAAAAGTTTACGTTTTGCTGAACTAGTGAGTTATATTAAAATCAATTCTTACGTTCTGAAAAATGCTAAAGCAATTGCCAAAACTTTTTCGATGCTACGTAAACATTTTGGCGGACACTATACAGGTTATATGTAACTAAATGCTTGATTAAACTCTAATGGCGAATTTTACGTCACAGATCAACAAAAAAAAGTTCTTATAAGTGTGTCTTCGGAATCATGTTGTCTTCAAGATATGGGATTCTAAAGTTCGAGAAAGAATCCAAATTTTAAATTATAAATAAAATTAAATTACAGTAATTCCATGGGTGTATATTAATTTTGTAATTATTTTCCTTTTTAGAGGCTTATAGAAAATGTATATTTGCTGCATGTTGCCAAAATATATCAATATAAACAATTAAATGTCAGACCATGCATTAAGAAGAAATTATTGTTAAAATTGTGAAATTATTTTTTTAATTAGTTTTGAAATAAAATTACTATTATTTACTTAATCACGTTAATTATAAATGAAGAAAAATATTATCAACATGTTTAGCTATTTATTTTTTGTAATTTGAAATAAACATATCTTTTCATTGATTTTAAACAAATTATATTTAAAAAAATTTGCATTCTAGTACATATTACATTTTCTATAAATGAAAATTGAAAAATGACTTCGAACAATTCTTGTAATTATTTCGGAAAGTGCTTAAAACAGATGAACATTACTTAAAATCCCTTGATCGGATTTTTTAAGGTCATACATTTTAATGCATTTTCCACTTCCATGATTTAATTCATTCTATTAAATTATATTATATTCCTATATGTACTGCTGTATTACAATTATAATCGAAGAGGAAAATGCAATCAAATTTGAAGATCATATAGATTTGCAGTTACAACTGAATTTTAATTAATTATAGGTATTCTCAATCAATTTTTGACATAATTATGAGAATCGTAACTGTGTCCAAACCATCAATACAAAAATGACATTTTCTCATAAATCCATAAATAAAAAGTTTCGTCGAGACACAATTCATGACACACTGAACTACTGACTATTAAAAAACCAAAGGTTAACTATTCAAAATTCATATTTAAAAAATGATTAAAGTCAGAACTGACATTTGGGTGTGATGTGATAATTTATAGTATATTGGAGATTTTAAAATCACACACTAAAAACGTAAAACAGAAGCGTCAAAAAAACTTGCGGACTACTTGCCACAATAATAGAGATTTTAAAAAGAATTAAAATATTTTAATTTCTTCATGATTATACATTTGTTTTTGTGAAATCTAGCAAACTTTAAAAATATATGACTAATAGAGCATACTTTTAGCTCTTATGAAAGCAAAACTAATTTGAATACATGAACATAAATAAGCAAGTAATTACTTACCTTCTTCGGACACAGAAATGTCTTGACCAATGATTTCCTCGTCTATTATTTTTTGGATTTTTTTGTTTTAATAAACATGTTTTGATTGTTTCAGAAATATCACTATTTAATATATATTTTCCTTTTTATTTCTTCAGAGAGTGTACTATATTTTTTCACAAAATTTTCAAAAATATTAAATAGATAATTTTTTAGTTTTTTATAAGTTGGTAATTTAAAATTTAACATATTTTAAGAAAAATCTATCAGAGGGATATAAGTATTGAAAGTTACATATAATAATCGTCATATTTATTTGTGTCATTGGTAAAAGTAACATAACATTTAAAACTTAATTACTAACAGTTGTAACATATGTCAGAAATGTACAGGGGGAGGGGGGCAATATAAACAAAATACTACATACAATCAGTCTTAAACAAACAATACAATAATAATTTGTATATCAGACAATTATATATAAATAAATTTAATGACATAATGCCAAAACCACAGCTTATAACTGTCCAAATACTGAACATAACAGTAACTTGGAAATCACACTCACAAATATTTAAAAATATAACAAAACAATCATACCTACAAACATTTGGTAACTGGCTCATAACATAAAACAATGTCTGACGCCTTTAAATAAAAATTGCACTAATTGTAGTAACGAATATGCCATATACGCAAAATAATGACATATTTTTATAAAAAATATAGCAAGATTTTGCTTTAAAAATTTGGCACATGAATTGTCTAAAGCCCGAATTAATTTGGGCGAAACTAAATTTTAAAATTGGCACATAAATTCATCATAACTGAGGTAGATTTGTCATGAAAGAATAATATCACCTATTAAAGAAAAATATGTACACAACGACTCACAATTTCATTACATCTTAGTAAACAAATATCAAAACTTGCGTTGTTAACGTTATTGCATATTATTACTTCAATTTCCTATAGTACAACAAATAGTTATATTTCTTTCTGTGGTAGTTGACTAATACCAATGAAAAAACTATAAACGTTGTATCTATTCTATGATTTTTTGTATTTTATACATTAGATAAACTTGATTCTAAAGTTTGTACATCCACAAGATATTTATAATATAATCTGATATAAATATTTATATCTATATATTTAACTGAGATTTCTGAGGTATTGCTGTTTTGAGTATTGTTTATTATTGGACATTACAATATAAATTAAACTTGAGCAATTTTTCCCTTTTGTTTGTAATATTACTCTGTAGACCTCTCTTCGATCGTCTTAGTTATTAAAAATTTTAAAATTAAATATAAATTAATATGTACAGTATTATAAAATATTTTGAGATACAACACTTAAGTAGAAAATGTGCCAAGTGACAAACAATGAATTGCTACATACCCACCAAGATGTGTTGACGTGGCTCGTCGTTTCAGCGGAGGCTGGCTAATTTTGACTGCGTTTTTCTCACATGCGTCTCGCAATGCTTCATCATATGGTCCTTCCTGATGAACCCTTTTCCACAGGTATCGCAGGCGTAAGGTTTCTGGCCAGTGTGTAAGCACATATGCCTTCTGAGATCCGTCTTGTGATTGAACTGCTTCGGACAGAGGTCACATTTATGTGGTTTGTCGCCAGCATGTTTGGTGAGGTGTTCTTGGTATGTTACCTCGCAGGAGAAGCGTTTGCCACACCTCGAACATTTAAACGGCTTGTCGCCACTATGGAATGTTTTGTTGTGCTGCGTTAAGTAGCATGCTTTGTTGAATATTTTATCGCAGTCGTAACATTTGTGCAGACCTGACTTTGTTAATACTGTTGATGATATCAGAGGACTACCAGTATTCTCTTCGTAATCACGTTTGATATGTGCTTTTTCTGGGGACTTTGGCTGGGCATCTAATCGAAGCTTGATGTCTTCCATGATGTGAATTTTCGTTTCAGAAATATGAAATTTGGAGTCATTCTCTGAACTCAAGGACATCAGACCCAGGTGATCATCAGAGTGATTATTATTGTTATTGTGATTAGGAGAGTACTGGACCATATAATCAGTTTGCATTGGTGGAGGATCAGCAGCTGTAAGTACGGTGAGCTTGTAGTCGTCTTCTTCGCTGCGATACATCAAAGGTTTCGACTCAGACACGTCACTTGGTTCTGTGTAGTAGGTATAAGGGGTCGTTACCGCACCCCCGCCCCCCACGTTCGCTATATCATAACCGATCAAACCGTAGCGATGGGCCTGGATCTGCGCAAAGCTAGGTAGCGGCTGATTTTCTTCGGCTAGGCTATTCTGACTAGTGAATTGGAATTCACCAGTAGTATTGTGGCTGTTGGTATCCATAGCCTGCGTAACGTGGGGGGCCGACTCGTTTGGGTACATCTGGAATTGGTTGTTGTCCATTGACATCATATGCTGAGGTGCCATGTTGAACCCATGGGTATTGGCCGTATTGATAGGAGGAGAACTGAGCGACAGCAGGCCCCTCGAATCTACGTTGGTGGTTGAGAGGCCTGCTTCCCCGTTTGGGGGACTCCCGTTTGGTAAATTTGATAAACCAGGATTAACTAAGTGGCTTCCCAAAGGGCTAGGGTGTTGGGACATAGGAGAATGTGCCATGGAGGCATGTGACATGGGGGAATGAAGGGGAGGTGTGTGATGGATATTGGGGGCAGGTTGCCGGTCATATGGACTGTTGGGAGGTTGTTGAAGTAAGCCCGGCATCGTGCTCATCCTCTCAAACTGGGGAGGCATGCTGCTGTTATCTTCGCTACGAATTTCGTCCCCGGAACTTCCCGATTGGGGGCGATCGTCCTGCTTCGAGGAACTATCTCTGGCGGGGTGGTGGTGGGCGCTAATGGGCATTGTCGCCGGATCCGGTTGTCCGCTGGACTTTACTGCATTCTTATGTAACGTCGTGTTATAATGACGTTTTAGGTGACCGGAACTTGTGAACCACTTGTTGCAGGCGGTGCAGTTATACGTCTTTGGTCTACGGGCTTCGTTGGATTTCCAGTTTGCAGAATTCTTTTGCATTGTAGGGGGTGGTTGTGCGGGACTATTAGGAACTTGGGTGCTTGAAATCACAGGAGCGTTGGGGGGTGACGTTAGGTGCTCAAATGGTCTATAGGATTGATGAGGTTGGCCAAGAGCATTCATATTACTTCCGGCATTCTCTTGTGATGTGGTAGTGACGCCATTGACAATGAAATCTTGATTATGCATTTGAGGTTGGAATAATTTTTGATCAGGCGAAAACATCTTGCTATCAGGAATGTTATCTGGAATGTTTTGGGAAAACATTTTTTGGTCGGGAGCATTCATAAATATACGTTGTTCTTGAGCAGGATGTTGTGGGAACATTTTTTGTTGCGGCTGTTGCGGAGACTGTTGCGCTGGACTCCATGAATTAAGTAAAGCGGAAACAGAATGTGGATTATGAACAATGGGATCCCCATTCTGATGTTTCTCTTCCTCGGGAAACACGTTGTGGACAACTTTGTGTGAGTCAAGGTCTAGAATCTCGCTCTGCCCGTTGTCTTCTTGTTTTACAATGGGCGGCTGATCAAACATAAAATGCTGATTCGGTTGATAAGCAGAAAGATGGGGAGCGGGAGTTGGAGGATGAGCCATATTCAGATGCTCGATAAGCTGAGAAGCGGATTCACATACATAGCCGCACTTGTCACATTGTTTAGGACTAGGGGACGGCGTCGGCTGAGGGGGGTACGCAGGGCTTGAAGTTGACACCTGTGCCTGCGTCTGCTGCCGCTCGTAATTGTTTTGCTGGGGTTCGGAATAGGGGTGGTACCTATACGAGGAGTTTTGCATAGGGTTGTTTTTGTTATGAGCATATGAATCTGGATATTGCTGATTTTGACTGGATTCCATTGGAAAATATTGTGGATCCGAATAATTGGGATAATTATTTTGCTGGTACTGCGGCTGCTGTTGTTGCTGCTGTTGCGGATTTGGAGACGTTCGGTCATTTTTTTGCTGATAATTAGAAAAATTTGGCGAAAAATTAGAATTGTCGTGATTCTGGTAAGGAGATGAAGCGCTCTGGTAGCTTTGGGGTGTTGGCGGATGCCCAAAAATAGATTCTGGAGTAGCCCTACTGTATTCTGGACTTTTCTTTTGAATAGAGTCAGAGCTATCAGCTGTAGCAATAGTATTATTTGGAATTAACTCACGTTTCATATTAGCCTTTGGAGTGTTGTTGTTGGTTTCCTCGGAGTGGGAAGAAGCTGCCTGAATCGCCCAGTGTTTCAACAAATTTTCTTTGTGATACTGCAGATGTACCTCTAAGGACTCCGCAGAATTTAATGATAAACCACACTCCTTGCAGTGGTACGGGCTGTTGTTTTGTTGCTGGAAATGTTGCTGTTGTTGCTGAATTTGCTGCTGCACACCACTGTTGCTAGCCATTGCACTTAATTATTAAAGTTTTTAAATAACAAATAAATAAAGAGTTCAAAATAAAAATACAACTGTCACTCCTTTAATATCATAACATGTCAATAGTTCTTGTTCACGGTGGTATAACGTTTATAACATAAAAAGTAAAAGCGCATTTGTTTTTGATTTGCATATCACTGACGAACTAAAATAAATAACGAACAAAAAATAAAAGTGTCTTTTCAGTTCGTTTAGCCCATTATACGCGCTATTTCTAGTCTCTTATAACACAATCGGAATGGCACGCCGGCATGTTTAGGTTAAATTCTTGGGAGCACGAGATTTGCACTGAGACACTACACACTGGTCAACTAACGTCCGACCACTCACAGAGCTATCTAAAGACTGCTGTCAGTTGCCGGTTCCTCTCGAATTTGGTGGTCCAACGTGCCGTGCGGTGCGTGTAGTTTTGCGAGTTCGCATAGGCCGCCCGCTTGAATTTCGACCAATGGCAAGGCCCATATTAATGTGTTTGGGGTGGTAGGGGGTAAGATGCTGCATTTTTGAACATAGACGGCTTTGGATTATGATGCTTGGATTTTGTTGCATCCCTTCCAAACAAAAACCTAATCCTGTACCTACCAACAAAATTTGTATAAAAACAAGATTCGTTTTTGAAAATTTCGCCAGTTTTACTTGCATAATGTTAACATAAACATTATTAGGATTATATACATAGCGTAATTGAATACTGCAAAAAGTACTTGACATGAATTAAAAGGCAAACTTAGTGTGGTAATTTTTTTCATCACGCATCAAATTATTTTTGTACAGATTCAAAAACCGTAAGTAAAATTGGTTATAAATTATTCCCTGATTAATTGTACGAATTTTCTAGGTAGTTAAAAAGTGTTTTTTTTATCTATTTACCACAAAATACGTATTTAGTTTTGTAAATAACAATTCAGTCGTCGCAATGTGGATATCAAAAGACCTTTATTTTCTTTGTACTTACTTGTTTATTATTAAATTTATTAATTGTTATTTAAATAGGCTTACTACTTTTTTATTTCATGAAAACAGAACATATTTTCTTTTTCATTAAGTTGTTACAAAAAAGATGACGAATAAATATTGGTAAAACTGTAACACCAAATAAATGCCTCTAATGACCCTTAATAAATGTACGGATACACATAAAGTGTACCGTAAAACGTCTCTCCTGAGAGGTAAATGTACCTTTGTCCTTGTAAATCGCAAATTGCATGTTGCATTCAAATCTCAGTTAGAATTGCGTCATGTTATTTTAATTTACAATCGCAGCCTGGGGTTTTTACATAAGTGACATATTGATATCGGTTTGAGTCGGTATTAAGGAGAGAAAAATATTTTTTAACAAATAAGTGTCCCTATTAAATAAAACCAAAAACAATTTAATAACCATGTACTTAATTAAATAAACAAGTGCAACATGATTTGAGTAATTGTGTAAATATTTTGTATTATTGGCAATTAATTAGGGAATTATATCCAATGCAGTAATAAGTACCGTGAAATTCCAAGTTACTGCTCAGCGCCAACAATCTGCAAATAATTTGGTAGACAAATTCAAAGGACTATGTGCAAAGTCAAGGTGAGAGAGTTCGCCTTTTCGGCGGCTGAATAAACTCTGATGAACTTATTTTAGTATTTTTATTTTGGCCAGACTCCGTCTGCATGCATTAATTGCATCCTCCAGGCAATCTCAAATTCGGCTGCTGCATCTTTCAAGGTCCAGCACCTTTCATTGTCTAATGCAGCGCTTATAGCTCGGACAAACGTATACGTCTAATGAATATTTACTACAACGAATATTTCAATGAACCCGTCTAAAAGTTATTGCGCATTGATCATACCATGTCATTTAAATAGTTCTCAATCTCTTTATGCTATACAGGGTGTTTTCTAAGTCCACGCCGTAATATTACTTTGTAAGTCGTTCCTAGGCATTATTATTTTTGCATTAAATAAATTTAAGAAGATTTATTAATGCAGTAAATGACACATTCTCTAGAGTAAAATATAAATTTCCGAATTATTCCTAAAGACCAATTAAATAAACAGCTTTCTTAAAATAATAGTACAATGAGAAACTTGATATAGCAGGTTTAAATTAACTAAGTCAGAATAGCAATAATTAAAAATATATACAGGGTGGTCCCGAGGTAATGGGCCAAAATTCATGGGTAGATTCCCCAAGCAAAAATATTGCGCTTTAGCCGAACTTACCTTAGTCCAAAAGTTGATAGTTAAAGAGATACAGGGTGTTAAATGTAAAATATTATTTCAGTTGTTTTTTCATTTATTCCTTAACAAATGCAAATATCCTCGCAAAATTTTGGGGTTTGGAGTTCTTTAAGTAAAGGAATTGAAATATGTTCACATTTTGGTTAAAGTTCATAGAGGGCGCTAGATGCAGTAGATTGAATGTGTTAAAAATGACAACTTTTTTTGTATTGTAAGGTATCTATTCTTTGGTATCAAATTCTTATTTTCCAACTTTTTTTACACAAAAAAGGTATAGTTTATGAAAGTAGCTATCTAGCATCGTTTTTGAGATATTTGGCTTTGCAACTTCCAATGCTAATAGTTGAAATAATTAAAATAATTTAGAAATGTCAAAAACAAGAGTTTATTTAGGATTAAAAATTATAATGAACAGTAAAATAGTAAACATATAGTAAAAATTATGCCTTTTTGACAATAATTGCTCAAAATGTCCACTTCAATGCATTTATCAATGCGCTTATTAAAATATTGTCTTATTTTAAAGTATAAATCCTTAACGCGAAATGACTTTGCTGCATTTAAAACCTGCTAAAGTTCTTCTCAGGTGTTTATAGCTTCTCCATAGACAATAGATTTCATGTAACTCCAAAAACCAAAATCTCGGCATTCTAGTTCACATTTATGTATACGAGTATACAATTTAAATTGTAAGCCATTAATTAGCATACAAATAACAGCAATAAGTAGAAAACGTCAATTATTTGATTTTCGTCCAAATCCTACTTAAGAAACTTTACCGTTAAATTAATAATAATTACTTAATTGTTATTTAATGCAACAGCATTGGAAATTTGAAAGCCAAATATCTTGGAAACGGTGCGAGACAGCTACTTTCATAAAGTTCAACTTTTTTGTATAAAAAATGTTGGAAAATAACAATTTGATACTTTAATTCCTTTACCCAAAGAACCCCAAACCTCAAAATTTTGTGTAGATATTTGCATTTATTAAGAAATAAATGGAAATAAAATAAAATAATATTTTATATTTAACATCCTGTTTCTCTTTAACTATCAACTTTTGAACTAAGGTAAGTTCGGCTAAATCGCAATATTTTTGCTTCGGAAATCTACCCAATAATATTGGCCCATTACGTCGGGACCACCCTGTATAGCAATCTCTACAAAAAATGTTCCTTCCATGACTAAGAAAACTTTAGGAATTTATTGTTGAAAATAATGTTTAAAATGCGTTGTAATAAATAAGAGCTATATACATGTTTATTTATCTGAAGAATAACCATAGTCCACACTTCCCAAAATATTAATATTACTACGTCAATGGAATGTTTTTTCTATTGTTGACGGTTATATTGTACATAAAATTGTATTTCGAAAAAAATCCTATATATTTTTTGTTTTACGATAAGTATATTTTAATCTATTGAATTAAGTGATAAGATTATTTTACATCTCAAAAAATCATAACTAGCAAATGACCAGTTTTTTTTAATAATGTGGAAGATAACTTCTAAATAACATTGAGAATTAAAGACACACATCTAATTTTCAAAATATTTAGTGGTGTAGAAATTATTATTCTTAGTAAAGTGCCCCCTATTAACTTAACTTTGGTTGAAATATTTGTGTATCAATTAAGTGTTTCTTTGCCTGTAATTTATTACATCACAATTCCAGTTTCATCAGTCCACATCAAACATTTTTCTTAATTTTCTTTAAACTTCGGCATTCTATACTTCGAAAAGCATTTACTTTAGAAGTTCATTAAGAGTTTTTAGTCTAAAATGACTCAAAAGCTACTTTCTCAAGTGTGTCATACATTTTAAACACGCCCAGTAGATTTTCACCTTTCTGCCAAACTGAAACAGCTGTGACAAATAATGATTTTAAGAAAAAAATTTTGTAATAGTTCTTAATAAAAAAGGGACATGGTATTCAAAATCGTATTTAAAACGATTTTTTATCTGATAAAATGTATAAACATTTCATTCCATGCGCCACGCCATTGGTATTTTTCTGATGTTCTGCGCCTCCAAAGTAATCAATTATTTAATTTTTTTTACTGTTCATTCAATTCTGTATAAAAAGTATTTCTTCTCCGTTTGCCATAAATCTGTCAAATTTTGAATAAAAAGACACTTAAATTATATAAAAAACTAAAGATATTGTTGAAGGACGAATTTTTTAATTTTATTCTTATTTTCTATTATATCTTATATTCTTTAATTCTAATTTATCTAGTAAATCGATTGCGAAAATTTAAGAAGAACGATAGACATTATTTGTTTCAAGTATCTACTGCTGTTGAATTTATAAAATCGATTTTGCTTAAAAGAACAAAAAGACGATAGAAGCATATGTCCCAAAATCCTTAGTTTTCAAATACAGCTAATACTCCAGTCAAATTATAGTCCAGGCGGTATCTGTATCGGGTTGAGTAAAACGCATATGATCGGAGATTTTTGTTTTAACGGCTTCTAAATAACATCAGAAATGATAATTTTTCTATGCAAATAAAAAAACGTGGGCTTAATTTTTAATGCAATAAAGTATAAAAAATAGCAAAAAAATTCATTTTTTTCTTGGATTTCTCGGCGACAACTTAGCAACTATTCATTTTAGACAAAAATGGAAGAGGAAAAAAGTTTTGTAATTAAATTTTGATCAAGATAGAGTTAGTTGCAATTCGAAAAAATCATTATTGTTATTGCAAAAATCGGAAAAATCATTTAAAAAATTGCA